GGAGGTGGTAGAAGGGAAACTCTGATTGGCTGAGTTTATGTTGAATTGACAAAAACAATTTCTGCTGCTCTGCAGAATGTATTTTAGAACAAAATTATATTCTTTGCACACTCTAGTTGTGGCCTGGGAAAATGTATCTACTAGCAGTAGACATTGCAGGACTTGGTAACTGTCGAGGACTTCTAGGTTTCCAGATTGGGTTTGAAGAAAGATAAATTCCGTTTGGATCTGGTGAGTTTGAGGTACTCTTCCAGAAGCCTCATGGATCTGAAGCTTGGGAGAGAAGTGTAGGCTGAAGAAATGAATTTGAAAGTTACCAGAAAACAGGCTATTGGTGAAGCCATGAGTAGATGAAATCAAACAGAGGGTGAGGATTACAGGACCGGAGCCCTGGAAAGCCCTGACATGTAAAAGGGTGTGCAGAGAAAACGGAATTAGAAAAGAGCCCATGAGGAAAGGTCCAAAGTAAACTAGAGAAGAACTAGCAGGTGACACCAGACAATCCAATTGATAGCTCTCATTTAATTTTATACTAAATCAGTAGGATCCAGCTCCAGGAGAGTTCATGGATACAAACTAAAATTCTTTGTGACATCTCTTCTCCTTATTATCCAGGAAATGATCTTCCTCATGTCCAAACTCAAGGCCACATTCTGGTTGCCTGAGGATGCCGGGATTCCGACTACGAGGGCCTAATTTGTGTTAAAATGGTGAAGCCTTACTTATTTCCATAGTGTTCCTGCAAGGTAGATCGTAGTTCATGTACACGGAGAGCATTTTTGCATGTTATGCCAAGGAGCTGTCAGGACTTTTTTTTTTCACTATCTTACCCAATTCCCCTTTTAAGAAAAGAGCGCTCACAAATTATTTTCAGAGATTAAGACTAAAAAAATTTGTTCTTTTGACCTGTGCTGCTTATTTCTAGGCATTGACAACTAAATACATCCATTATTCCCTTATCACCCTGGCTGCTAGGAAGCTCAAGACCAGATTTTGGGCTTAATTGCTGTAGGGTTCCTCAGATAGATGTTCTTAGAATTCTAGGTTTTTTTCTTCCTTTTGGCCCTTATTTATTTGTTCCTGTTCCTGTTTTTTTGCTCAGTAGTTTGATTTTGTTATACTGGCCTGATGGTACTCATATATATATATAGGTATATATATATATTTTTTTTTGGAGGGGGGAGGCTGCGTTGGGTCTTCATTGCTGCACAGGCTTTTCTCTAGTTGTGGCGAACAGGGGCTACTCTTTGTTGTGGTGCGCAGCCTTCTCATTGCGGTGGCTTCTGTTGTTGCAGAGCATGGACTCTAGGCATGCAGGCTTCAGTAGTTGCAGCGTGTGGACTCAGTAGTTGTGGCTCGTGGGCTCTAGATTGCAGGCTCAGTAGTTGTGGTGCATGGGGTTAGTTGCTCCACGGTATGTGGGGTCTTCCCGGGCCAGGGGTGGAACCTGTGTCCCCTGCATCGGCAGGCTGATTCTTAACCACTGCACCACCAGGGAAGTCCCGGTAATATTTTTATAGTAAGCTACTTCAAATCTTTTTTTGAGTTTGGCAAGAATTAGAATAGCTACAGAAAAATAAAGGATATGTCATCATAATTTTGCAGGTTTTTTTTAACCTGTACGTCTAAGGCTAGCCATTGGTCTATGTTAGTAACTGTCTTCATTTATTAGTTGCAAAGTTCATTCTGTTGAATAATTCAGAGAATCTTTTTTTCTCTATAGTCAACCCATATATTAACAATAGCAAAACTTAAACATGTGATTGCTTGATATTATAGAGCATTTAAGAAAACAAGGTAACCCCAGTGAAGTGATAAAATTAGCTTTCCTCTTTTGTCTGTTAGCTCTGCTTATCTGTCATGGCACATTGGTTAGAATAGTGGCCAGTAATCTTATGTCATTGACATAGATTTTTTCTCTCCATATCTCATGTCAGAGCTGATAACAAGCTTCTTGCTCTGACTGTTGAACTATCATGAGGAAGAACTCAACAAAAGTAAATAATAGCATATGTACTGTGCTAGGTTCATAACTGTGGGCATGCTTTCATTTGTCACATCTTTTGGACGATCACATCTGTTTTAGGTGTCAGGATCTACTTTTACCATCACCAGTGAGGAAGATACAAGGCTTTCCTCCAAGGTGAAGACTGAATGATTGAAAGAGACTTTGTCAAGACAAAATTTTTCCCCAAGAGTCCTGCCAAAGATTGGCCCCTGGGGAGGATGCACCATGTAATTCTCCTTTTCCTCCACTGGCTACTAAGTTAACCTTTAAGCCACGTATGCCAGGTTAGAATGCAGTCACCAATCACCATTGCTTTAATTCTCCCAACTTAGATGGCGCTTAGCCACCTGAACTGAAAGTTGGATGAAACTCTCCTTTGAATAAGGCTCATCACAGGACTTAATGTAGCCTGCTTCCTCAGCCAATGCCTGCTAAATACCAGCTTGGACCCCAACAAAGAGAAACAAGGTCCAAACTCTCCTTTTGGCTAATGATTTGATTGTCAAACCAAGATGTCTCAAACCTATAATTCTAGTTTTAATTGACTGCATTCTGTTTGAAAGAGCAATAGCTTCAGGGGAGGAGAGTAAGAACTTTTATTAACCACAGAGTGTGTATTGGGCCCTGGACATGTCAGGTCATTTGGTCCTTAAAACAGCCCTGGGAAGGGCAGTAGTGGCTCTGCTTCACAGAGTAGCACCCAGGGACCCCAGGAAACCAGTGGTCACCCAACGCCATATAACTAGCAAAGAGTGGAATCTAGTTTGAACTCAGATGGGCTTGACTCCTTTTTTTCTCTAAGAGACATGTTTTTCTTTGCCAACCTCAACAACGAGAGAAAAAGAGGCAGAAAGATAATCTAAAAAATGGAGTGACTGCTCACTTAAGAGGCTGTAACAAGGTTGGAGCTTGGTGGCTATTGCTAGGGTCTCCAGGGCAGGGTCCTCAGGAAGATTCCTAAATTGCTGACCGTGACTCATTCAGTCCTTTCTGTTGCCTGATTTTATCATCTGATCACAAGACTGTGCTGTAACTTTGGAGTGAAAAAACAAAGCTAAGAATCCATACAGTATTCTCAGCTCCCATCTAATGCTGTGATTCCTGAGATGCCTACTTTATACATAACGGGGGAAATGCATACAAGGAAGTTACATGCAGTGACTGAACAACACTCCAAATACAGCTTCCCACTTGTGCCGGATAGACTCATTCATGTGGACTTAGAGGAGCCTCGGGGACAGGTTTTTGGAAAATCAGGCCTTGGGCTTCTGGAAGCTTAGTACTCTTACTACAGAGCACTCCTGTTCCTGTCTCATCCCCCTGGAAAGAGTCCCGGGGTTGGGTTTGCTGGAGTCGGGGTCAAATGAGAGGTCAGTAGTAACAAAGGTGATGACACCCCCTCATTCCTCCACCTAGAGAACCTTCTTAGCCTTTCCCCAGACATGTTCTCTAGTAAAGAACTCCTTCCACTTCAGCCTTGCTGGGATCCACAGATTTCAAAATGAAGATTTTGATTCTGCCTTGTCTAAACACTGAGACAGTTTTTGTTGCAGACTGGGAGCTGGCAGCAGCTCTCCAGAGCCAGGATATGTAGAATTCCTTAAAAACACGCAGCATGGAGCAGCATGAAAACCTTAGAAATGCTTTTGAGAATCAACTTAATCTTCCAGCTCTGAAACCAGCTATGTGATGATGGGGGCTTTTGTTTTCTTTGCAGAGCCTAGGCTCCCTTTGAGAAAACTCACAAATTTGTAAATGTGGTAAAGATAACACTTTTCAATAAGCTGTTATTTCTCCCTCTTTATTATTTGGGTCAAAGAATTTTTTGAATTTCATTCCAATTCTTTTCACTTTGTGTATCAAGAAAAACAGTCATAGCAAGAAAGACTTGACCAATATATTCTTTTCATATCACAAATTCTCTTCTCAAAGTTTTTTTCTGGGAGGAATGAAAGTAATTTTATTTGTTGTTGGGTTATGGTCAAGTACTTGCAAATGACCTGTTTTTTTCCATGAAATAGGCACTTTCTGATCTACCTGATTACAATACTTAAAATGTTATACATCCAGTGGCATCTCATCTAAAATGATTTGTTGTTACTGCTAAAGATGATTTTACAAATATCCCTCCAAGTGACAACAGAAAGCAGACATGAACTGATTTTTTAAATTAGAATTTTGTTAGCCTTATGTTTTGGATTAAGAAAGAGATGTGGTCAGTTAATGGTTTTATTCCATTTTTATTGCAAACAAGAATGAAAAAGAGAAAAAATATTTCCACACTGGATTCCCCTTGAATGAATTCAAGCAAAGTTCATTACTAGTGGTTTTGCATCTGGCAAAGGTGTAAAATTGTGCCCATAGAGGTGTTGATTTGCTCCAATTCAGCAGGGCCCAGCCCTTTGGTGGGCAGTGCTGGCGTGGGAGAAGTGGCCTTCTCTGCACATCTGTTAAGTCCCAGGGGCTTCTAGGGTTTGGTCAGAAGCTCATGCTAAAAACGATCTTTTTCCCCACCAGATTCTAGGTAGAAAAGGTATGTCATCCATTCATCTGTTGATGGACACTTAGGTTGCTTCCATGTCCTGGCTATTGTAAATAGAGCTGCAGTGAACATTTTGGTACATGACTCTTTTTGAATTATGGTTTCTCAGGGTATATGCCCAGTAGTGGGATTGCTAGGTCGTATGGTAGTTCTATTTTTAGTTTTTTAAGGAACCTCGGGAATAAAGACGCAGACCTACTAGAGAATGGACTTGAGGATACGGGGAGGGGGAAGGGTAAGCTGGGACGAAGTGAGAGAGTGGCATGGACATATATACACTACCAAACGTAAAATAGATAGCTAGTGGGAAGCAGCCGCATAGCACAGGGAGATCACCTCGGTGCTTTGTGACCACCTAGAGGGGTGGGATAGGGAGGGTGGGAGGGAGAGGCAAGAGGGAAGAGATATGGGAACATATGTATATGTATAACTGATTCACTTTGTTATACAGCAGAAACTAACACACATTGTAAAGCAATTATACTCCAATAAAGATGTTAAAAAAAACCAAAAGGTATGTCATCCACTATAAATGATGACTGGATCTTTTCAGACTCTGACAATATGAGCCACATCTTGGGACTATGCAGTTCTTCCTGACATTTCCTTCCATGAACAATTGCACACAATTCCACACACCTGTGTTTGCCATTCAGTGTTCTTCACACACGTGTGACCTGCAACTCTGCTTTTGACAGGCTCCTCATCTCCCCAGGCCCCCGTTTCCTCCTCTGCAAATGAGGGAAATGGCCTATAACTCCTTCCAACCTCTTCTTCCATCTCTAGAATATTCAATACATTAAGAGGACAGGGTTAAGAATCATTGCTTCGAAAGAAACTCTAAGATTTCTATCATCTGAGGGCAAAGGTGGGCCTGCAAGTCATTTATTGTCTCAAAAAATTAAGACCTTTCTTTAAACATGGACCTACCATATGATCCAGCCATTCTACTCCTAGCTACTTACTCAAGAGAAATAAAAACATGTCTGCACAAAGACTTGTACAGGAAGCTTTATTCCCCCAAACCACAAACTGGAAACAACCCAAATGCCCATTAATAGATGAAAGAATAAACAAAATGTTGTACATCCATACAATGGATTACTATTGAGCAATCAAAAGGAACAAAATGATACATGCAATAACATAAATGAATCTCATTATGCTGAATGAAGGAAGCCAGACACAAGACGACATACTGTACATTCTGGTTATGTAAAATTCTGGACAATGCAGACTAATCTATTACAGTTACACAAGGCAGGTCAGTGCTTGCCTGTGGTCTGCAAAAGGTACAAGGGACCTTTTTGTGGAGGGAAATGTTCTGTATTTTGATTGTGACGGTAGTTTCACAGGTGGATGCAACTGTCAAAGCTCATCAAAATGTGCACTTTAAATGAATACAACTTATGTAAATTGTTTCTCAAAGTTATCAGGGGAAATTTTTTTGTAAGTTCTTGACTGTTCAATCTCGGGCTTGAAGAAAATACATAATGGGCAGCGGATAAAGTTTTGAGGGGCCATGATATCAAAAAAGGAATGACAAACCCAAAATATTCTTAAACATTCTGGAAAGCCCTTTAGTTTCTGGGCAGCATGTATGAATTTGTAGGAAAATAACTTATCTTCTGATTTCAGGTAAAGCCCAGAACAAAGAACTGCCTTGGAAGCTAAGCAAGGTATGTTGCTCCACAAACAAAGGCAGGTACATGGTGGTGGGCAGCTTCCTGTCTTTGCAGCAAGTCAGGCTCCTGCATACCGATTTCTTCCTTCACTCTGCCTGAGGTGGTACTTACGGGTCTACTCAGGGGTGGATTCCATTCTACTTTATGAATGTCTATTCAGAAAAACTAGAAAGCTGTAGGGCATGTTATTCCTTTATAGGCCACAAGGGGCGACCGATTTTAGTTGCACCAACTTGTAGAATCACAGGATGTGAGATTTGGAAGGATCCTCAGAGATTCTCCTGTCCAACTTCCCAAAGGAGGAAGCTGAGGCCCAGAGAGGGTAAGTGAGTGGCCTAAGAACACAAAGCACCAGCAGGACTAAAAATCACTGCTCTCCGGGAGTCTCTCCACTTTAATACACTGGCTCATCACTTATTGAAAAAGTACAACCCCAAATCTCTAGCCAGATCCTAAATCCAGGCTTAATTAGCCTGCTGCACCTTTATTTTTTAAAATTTTTAAAAATGTTTTATTTTTTTTTAATGAAAGCTGTAAAATGGTTGGATTCTAGCTGAGAGAAAAGCAGCAGATTCCCAGTTCCGGCCCTACTGGGAGGAAACGTAAGGATCCAACCTCAGCACGGGCATGAATGTGAGGCATTTATGATTCTTGTAGAACTTGGCAACAATTACAAAAGCCTGCTCCATGGTGGAAATGACCATGTTAAATTTCCATTCTTATTTGCATTTGCAAAAATAGAATAAAATTATTTCTTGGGTAGAAGCATCCTCTGTGACTGGGAAGTGCTTCTTGTTCGTTGCTGCCCCTTTTACTCTTCATATACTTCCCCTTGATGGCTGTTGAAATAGCAGATATTTCATACAGAGAGAACATTCATCACAGCAGATTCTTGATTGAAGTTGAGTCAGATTCTGCTGTGAAGCAGCCACTACTAGGGAGTAAATGAGGCCTCCTGGAAGCTCCACCACCACCCAGTCTAACGTGGCTTTAATTTCCAAACTGCAGTTTGGCAGGGCCAGGTCTCAGCACTGTCCCCAACCTCCTCCTCTTGCATCTGACCCCTCGGCGCCTGGGTTTCACGGGGCCGAGACGTCCCCTTGGGGGTCGTGCTGTTGCTTCCCAGGGGTATCTGGATGGCACCTGCCAGCTGGTGCTGGTGCAGGGGAGACAAAGATGTTAGCTGTGTAATTTAGCAGTGCCCTTGGCCCTTCGGTTGGCCGGTGTGCTGGTAACATGTTTTGCTCTTCCCGCAGACTCCCCAGAAGGTCTGTTGTAGCGTTTGGTAGAATGACTAGGACAGTAACTTCTGGAAGAAGACTTCGATTGTTGGAATCACCCCAAGCTGAAGAAGCAACACCGGCGGCCCCTGCTTCTGTGAGGGGGCTCCTGGATCACCAAGCAACGGCACGTCCTGGAGGTGTCGGCAGTGCTGGGGCCCACCCTTCCCCATGGTGGTGTTTTCTGGGTCACTCTGTCTTGTCCTGAGGGCCATGCTGTGCCGTGGCTGCGGGACACACCTTTCGTGTGTGGGCACCGTGGATGGGCGGGTCTAACCCTGTATCCAGTGCGTCCCTCCACTGAGCACTGTGAGGGACAGACTCCCTAACACTGCTGACACCTGTGCATCCACAAGGCCATTTGTCAGCGCTGAATTCCTTGTTGAGCAAGTGGATAATAAAGGTACTGACCTTAATGGTCTAATCAAACCAGTGTAGTAGTGACACAAGAAATCATTGAAAAACTGTGGGCGAAGAGCTGAAACTTTCTCTAGAAAGTTCGTTAATGACCAGAATAGATTATATAATCTACGTACAATCATGGAGAATTGAGATGGGTAGTTGAAAAAAAAGAAACAACCAAAAAAACATATTCTCCCCACCTCCTCTAATCCTTTGAATTTAAATCATTCCCATCATTGAGGTCAAAGGTGTTTGGGCCACCTGAAGTACAGAATTAATTTTCTTCTCCATTTTCTATTGATTTATTAATTATAAATGTAGTCTTTTGTTTACCTAAGAGACAGGAATACAATTGCTATTTCCAGTCACTTTTACTTTCTATTTACTATTTTTTTTTTAATCAGCACACAAGCATGTTCTAGTGTCTCTTACCTTTAAAAAAATAATCCGCCCTTAATCCTTAGAGCTATCAGTTGATTTCTCCCCTCTTCACTGAAAAACTTCTGAAAGAATTGTGGGCTCATGAATTATCTCCATTTCTTATCTTTCCATTTGTTCTTCAGACTTCTCCACTCTGGCTTCTGCCCACACTGCTCTGCCAAAAGTGCTCTCTCCAAGGTAACCAGTAACCTCTATGTCGTCCATTCCGGGGAGCATTTCTGAGTCCTCATCTTCCTGGAATGCTCCTTGGAGGACCATCTGAGAATCCTTCTACTGCACACGGAAGAAAATCCAACTCACATTGTGGCAAACAAAGCAGTAAGTTTATCGTATGGTTTCTTTAATAATTTTCTCCGCTCTATTTCTCCCTTCTTTCTGGCATTAATCAGATATTAGATTAGTTGAATTGATCCTCTATCTTTTCTATCTCCTTAGCTGTTTATTCAGCTCTAAGAGTTCCTTGCCTATCTTTTAAACCTTGTATTGCATGTGTAATGTCAGCTGTCAGTTTTTGTTTCTCAGTGTCCTCCCTTGTTCTCAGATGATTCCTTTTTATTGCAACACATTCTTGTTTCGTGGATGTAGTATTTTGCCTTACTTTTCTGGCAAAATTAATTTTAATTTTTTCTACTACTTCCTGAATTGTCTGTTTTCTGAGTTACCTTGTTTGTTTTGGTCTCTATTGTGTGGGGACTTTCCGAAAATGTCTGTGACTCAAAGTAGTCTGTTCATATTCTACAGGGAGACCCTGGGAGCTCTAGGGGACCAAGAGGGTGGAGCTGGTAGACTGGTGGCTTTGGGGGTAGGTTGATTGGGTGGGAGGCCAGCTTTGTCATGTGGTAAATCTTCATCTCTCCTCACACCCAAATATTACCATGTGCTGGTCTTTTGTCTGGGGTGATTTAGTTTCTCCGGAAAGGGATCTTCCAGACTCCTGGGAGGGGGGGTGGGGACAGATGCCTCGCTGAGAGCCATGTCAGAACCAAGCAGGAGGCGGCCAGGGGCCTTGTGATTCTGAAGGTAGATTGTAACTCGATCCTACAGTGTTCAGCATTACCTCTGCCCTCCTCTTGGACTGCTATTTGAGTCTAGATCTTCTCTGGCTCACTTTTTCCAGGGAATGAACTTCTAGACTCTTGCTGTGGGAAAGGAGGGTCTGGAAGGTGGGGGGAGGGAAGGTCTCTTGCTCCTGTTTGAGACTCCCACCATTCTCCCTCTTTTCACCTGATACCTCTCCCCACCTTTCACAGAACACAGTGCCCCCCAGCGGTGCCAGACCCCACAGGACTCGGCCGGCTCCTCAAGTGTCTCACTGCAAGCTCTCAGGTCGGCTCCCTCCACTCGCTTGAGCCGTTTACCTCCCATACATCTTTCAAAGCCTGCACATTTTTTGTCCATAATTTTCTCCTCTTTTGTTCTTTATTCCTTTACTGTCATGTTAGGGCTTTAGGAGGGAGTATCAATTAAGCATGTTTCAAGCCACCATATTTAACTGGAAGTATGTTGGCATTCTTTATAACTTCGGATTATATTTTGATTCTTTAGGTCTGCCTTTCCACAGAAGGTCAGAAAATAGAAATTCTGACTTTTTCAGCTACACCCAGTTCTTTCTACAAAGAGTAAACATGAAGGTAAGGATTTTTGTTGTTAATTTAAAATGTTGCCTGTTACATAATATTTTGTGTCATGTAAGTGAAATTATGTTCTATTGAAGAAAGAAATGTATATGGTTATTGCTCGTTTTTCAAATTATCCAGGAGCATCTATCCTACTCTCAGATGTCCTTGCTTCTAAGTTACTCAGATCTTTGCAGTTCTTTGTGAAGGATTTTGGTATCAGATCTTCCGAGTAATAATAGCTAACATTCATATATGTGCCAGGCACTCTTCTGTGCCCTCATTTAACCCGTACAACAACCATATGAAGTTGGTATCATTATTTGTCTCTCTCTTTGGAACACAAAACTGAAGCACAGAGAGTAATATGTCCAAATTCACATGGCTAGTGTCTCAAGAGTCCTTGCTCTTCACCACTATGCCATGCTCTGTTGCAAAATCTTTTTCTTCTATCTGATGAAACTTCTAAAGATTTTCCCACCTACTTCCCCAGAGGAAACTTACAATATGAAAACACCTAGAGAGAGAGTTTAAAACACACACACATGCACACACACAGCCAATTAAAAGAAGCTGTGTAGACCGGAAGTCTGAGATGAGCTGGTTTTTCCACTGGAGCACTAAATTTGGCTCTGATTTACTGTCGACTAATTTTAAAAAGTGAAATGTTAGATTATACGGTTCTCATTGTTTTGTAGAGCAAGCATGCACATTATTTTTCAGAGAAAAAAGTTTTTGGCAACTGAATTCTAGAAGCAATTTCTACAATGCTAATGAAAGAACTCTAGGGTTTTTAAAAAGCTTTTTATTGGAAATGTAATACATAATCAGAAAAATACAAAAACATAAACACACAGATTAGTGAATTATTATAAAGCGAACCCCCATCTCACCACTACCCTGGTCAGGAAAGAAAAGCTTAGCCCCACAGAAGCCCTCTGTATGCTCCTTTCTGGTCATGAAGCTCTGGTCTCCCCAAACGTACCATTATCATGACTTAAGTGCCAATCATCTTTTTTTTTCTTTCTGTTAGTTTTACCACCTAAATAATATCCTAAACACTATAGTTTAGTTTTGCGTATTTTTTAAAAACTTTGACTGGAATCATGTATTAGATATTTTTGCTTTTTGCTCGACTTTATGTCAGTGAAATTCATCCAGATTATTTTGTGTAGCTGTATTCATTTTTATTCTATAGTACTCCATTGTCTCACTATACCACATTTTAGGGATATACCACAATTGTCTGTTCATCAGTTGATACACCCTTGGGTTGTTTAGTTTTTGGCTATTAGGAAGAATGCTGCCTTAAGCATTCTTGTATATGTCTTCTGATTCAAGGATACACACATTTCAACTGGGTCATTGGGTGACCATATTTTCTTTATGTCTCTTCCCATCATGTTCCATCTATACATGTCTATATCCAAATTCCCCCACTTCATAAACATACCAGTCATAGTGGAATACGGCCCACCCTAATGACCTTATTTTAACTTGATTACCTCTGTAAAGACCCTATCTCCAAAAAAGGACACATACTGAGGGTCAGGACTTCAACATATGAACTTTTTGAGGTACACAACAAAGTTGGTCATACTAAAACAAGGAACAATTCTAGAAAGAGGACAGTTTGTGCATAGGCCCTAAGGTAAGAGAGAGATTATACACAATGCTAGAGCTCAGTAAGCCATGAGGCTGATAGGAAGGGCCAAACCACATTCAGCCTTATAGTCCATAGGAAGAAGATTTGGGATTTTATTCTAAGTGCAATGGAAAGTAACCGGAGGGTCTTATGCAGTGGAGAGACATGATCTCACCACTTTTGAGTGGAGGTTTAGTTGGAAGGAGACAAAGAGTGGCAGTGAAAGATCAGTTAGGAGGCTACTGCAGTACCCTACTTGAGAGATGAATGTGGTCTGGACCAGTGTAGGGCTTAGAGACAGAGAAAGCAGTGGATGTATGCCAGATGTAAAAGTTAGGGTTGATAGGACTCGTTGGATACGGAGGATGAGGGTGAGAAGGGCAGCAAGGATAACTTCCAGGTTCTGAATTCCAGAACTGGATTAATTAAAAAAAAAAAAAAAGAAGAAAGAAAAGATAAAACTGAGAAGGATTGGGTCCAGGTTTTAATAGAATAGGAAGGGAACCATTTTGGACATGTTATACTTGAAATTGCAGGAAGCATCCTAATGAAGAGATCACGGGGCAGTTGCATACATACAGATCCAGTGTTCTGAGAAGAGGTACAGGCCAGATAAAATTGGGAATCATTACGACACAAATGTCATTTAGAACCATGGGGAAAGGTGAGACTAAGAAGATTGAGAAAAGGGTTATGAAGAAAGTCTAGAAATATTGCTTACATATAGTGCAGTGAAAGAATTGCTGGAGTTAGGGAGATAATATTCTACGTGTTACCTTCTGATGATTCACCTTAATGCAATACCAAAGCTTAGATAACATTAGAGAAACTCATAACTGAAATGTAAAAACCTTTCAGCAAGTTCTGGGTCACAGTGAGTTTATTGTTGAATCTTCTGATGGTTGTTGGAAGAGTTAACCTTCTGTTTCAAAAACTTGGCCCTGACCCACACACTTGCCGGGGTAGGCCATCCTATTTCTGACAAGAGGTGGGTCACAAAGTGGCCTGTAGGTAAGACCAGAGAATTTTTAAATTGAGATTTGAGCCACTGGAACACTTGAACTTTTACTTAAAGAAGATTCCAGAGGTTTAGGGTCTTTAAGCATGAAAAAGATCATTTTGGCCTAAAACATTTATAGGATGTTTTTGCCAACTGGACTACTTCCACCATAGAGCCATAGTGTGGCTTTTGCATAATGTAATTTTGAATAAGATTATATTGCAAAATGCCCACGTTGGCTACTTTCCCTCATCTCACTCCTCTCCCAAGTCAATAATGTGAATTTACTGTTCTAGCATAAATAGATATTTACACACTGAAGAATATCTGCAAAATAATTCAGAGTAGTGCTTCTTATTCTAAATCTTTCATTAAGAAGTTTTAGGAATAACTGTGACTGATTCCTGCAAGACTTCCTTTTCTTTCCATTGGAAAATGGTTACAAACAAGCTAAGGTTTCTTTGAAGTTTGCCAATCTATCATCTTCAATTACACAAAACATCTGTTGGTGGAGGAAGTTCAGTGCCCTTGAGGATGAGTAACTTTTTAATTGTTCTTGGTGGTAAACTATTCTGACAGAAATTGGCCAGTGGTTTTAGTTGCTTAAGGCTTTTCCTCAAAAACCAATATCATCATACTCATAGGCCTGCTATAACTTGATAAAAGGACTTTTAAATATTTCAATATAAAAGGCCTCCAGATAACCACAGAGATAGACTAAGACATTTATTCAGGGCTGAAACAATTCAAACTGGCTGCAGTCACCGGGAATTTTCTAGCTCTAGAAGCACATGAATACAGATAAGTTGCTGAGGCCAAGAGAACATCCCAGCATCTGCAACTCTCAGACGTCACTAGAAGTGAGACAAATAATGGTCTAGGAGTTTTTATGTGGGGATATATATGTCCCCATGACTCTCCTTGCAGGAACTATGTTCTGGGGAACAAAGTTCCTAAAGCCACAGAGCATAATAGCACTATGTTACACCTAAAGCACTTCAAAGGAATCTGCTATATAACTCATTCATGTCTTAAAATAAGTTGCCTCTGAAGAGATTTGAACTTAATAGCCTTTTTTGGACTGACTTTATTTGAATATTATTTGAAGTCACATCTTGATGTCTTTGAAACTCTGTTTTTATTCTTCTTGAAAATGTTTAGTGATCAAGTGTTTCTCTAGCACATCTCAACACAGGAGACTCAGGCCTAGTTTTAGCCTAGAATGAAGTGCTCTTCTCCAGACCATCTGAAGTGAACGCTGAGCGCCACTTGCATCTTACAGGGTTAGGGTTAAGAGGAAGTTGAAGATGCTGTGGGAGATAATTGGGCAGGGTAGTGTTTAAAGCAAAGCCTGCCAAACCAGTAGTCACCCCAGACACGTTTAATATCTAACCCTTTTCTTGTGCCTCATATGAATTGTGAAGATTAAATCGGATTCTGTGATTCTTCCTTTCATGTCTTGTTTTCCTTTCAATGTTCTGATTAAGAATGTTGACACACAAGGAGGGCCAGACACCTACTGCCTATGTGCTTTCCAAATGAACATACCTGATGGAATTTAGATTATGATAAGAACAGCATTTTAGAAACATGTGCAGGTGGAAAGGCATGAGCTGAGCATGAAAATGTAGATACTAGAGGTAGACTTAGGAGACCAAAGTTGGCCCACAGAAAGCCTTGTGGCATAGGTGCATGATTTCCTTAACCAGCAATGGAGCCAGGAAGCCCAGGACTCTACAGCAAGGCCTGGCCATTGGAATTGGTGACAGGGAAGAAAGATGCTTAATGGCCTGAGTATATGAAGTCCTCCACAGCAACAGGAAGAGCAGGTGGAAGAGGCAGGAATGAGGGGAAGTAGGAAGTGACTGTGATTAGAGGATGGACCCGCTTGAACTCTGCAGAAGAATTAACAGGTCAGCGGTCTGTTAGAGGTTAAGCTGACAAATAGTTGAGTTCAGAGAATGGCGAGAGCACAAAACTGGTGAGCTCCTGTGAACAAGCGAGATTATTAGTAGAGAGCTCTGGAGAAAATGTTAGCAGTGAGGAAGAACTAAGTCTCTGGTGAGCAACAAAGCTGTGGGTCGCTGTGGGAAAGGTATCCACTTGGCACTGGGACAGAGCGCTTGGGAAATGTGCTTAAACTTCAGTAACTGTCAGAAATAGACGGTATGTTGGTGGGTTTGCACCAAAGAATTTTAAACCTCTCCCACACAGCTTCCTGTAGCAAAGAAATGAAGTTTCAACCAGTTTACAGAACTCAGCAAGGTCAGGATGAACGACAGAATCACAAAGGACTAAGGAATTCCACAGGGCCTAGATTTCCAGGGGAGGCTGTCGCCTGTCTTGGTAAGTCACCCAGTAAGCCCATTCCAAACCAGCCACAGCATGATTTTCACAAGGGTGGACTAGGATGTACTGTGTTGAGAGATGAATTAATGTGTTAACTAACTAATTCGTTTTGAGGCAGAAGGTGATTCTATTAGTTTGGCTAAAGCACTTCTATTAAGTCCATTCTCTAAACTCTCACAGAAAAACTATCTAGTAATCAAAACCCTCTGTTTAGTTTCAGATATATTTATGGAGGGAATACATGGAAGTAAGGCCCTTCCTTGGGAGAAATGTCTCCCTTAATCTCCCCCAATTTAGAGGATCACAAATTGACTGCTAAAATGAAAGGCATTTAAGGACCTTCCAACTTTGGAGGTCAACATTTCTAAACCATATTTTGTTACAAACAGTGGTCGGGAAGAGGCAGAAGTACAGGGGTGGAGAGTCTGAATCCTGTTCATCATGTGGTAACAAATGCACAACTTGCTATGCTCCTTCTTATTAGAAATGAAGTGACATTATATACCACCATTGCTATTTTAAACAAACAAAATGAGCTTAACTCAATAAATATCTTTTATTAAAGAAAAAAGGAATATTGTTAAGCACCAAAACTGTATGTTGTTATATTGCATGTACAAGAAGAGAAAGGTGATTGCAATACTTAGTGTACAAGTACTTTGAAGTCGTGAGTGTAAAAAACATGAAATACAAAGCGATACAATAATTACAATGCAGAAAGTTGCACTAAAGAGCAAAAGGCAACAGTCAAAACCATTATTGGAAAGTTCATAGTATTGCTCTAAATGCTTGCTTAGTTTTTTTTCTTTGTACTTTTAATACTTTAGAATGTTAACTGAGCATATTTAAGTACTGTAAAATTTGCAGGAGTTGTCACTTACATTCTGCACACTGTCCATTTAGTGTAACGGTGTTAAAGCCATCCTGAAAAGCCAAGCACAGTGTGCTAGTGTTTTGCTTAATATTGCACAAAGCTAGTAAGTGGTGAGTTGGTTTGCCATTAAAATTTTCATTTAACCAGAAAGGCTAAAAGAACATACCAGTTTCATTCGCCCTAATGGGCTTTTATTCATGCAAAAGGATCTGTAGCCTTCGATTTTTCATAAATTATACATTATGGTTTCACACTTTGCAAGACATATAGTACAATAAGAAATTCAATGGAACAGTGGGGATTCTGTCCAAGTCGAAAAAGTCAGAAGTCACTTGCATGGGTTGTACTGTGCACCCTTCTTTGGTCACAAATGAAGGGAAAATGTCATCTTGTGATTATGAAGAATTCTTAAAACCAATATAATTAGTACTGGGAAAAGCTGGAATAACCTGTTGCACTCTTTGATAGTTAACCACAGAACATGCAAATTAAAAAAAAAAATTCCCTTGTTAAAATTGAACTCTTTAACCAACACCCACACCTTTAGTATACATCTCAAATCACTTACCACAGACTTCCCTTAACTCACCAATTGGAGCCTCTCTTAGTCATACCTGACCAAAAAACCCAAAACTTTCTCTTAATCCTCAAAACAAATGACTGCTTTGAGATTCAGTATAAGATAACATTGATAAAATATTTACTATATCAGCCTCAGAAGTATTTTCTGTACATGCACCTTACAGTGGCATAATAAATGTGTTTGGAGAAGGGGAGAGACACATGAATTTGGATTTCCATCAATTAAGTCCCTCAAATACCAAGCGGTACATTTACTGTGGGTAAAACAGAAAATTTTAGAATGAACATATCTTTGAAATATTTCAATGGGCAAACATTTACAACAGACAGACAGACAGACACACACACACACACACACACACACACGGAATCCAGACTCCCTCTTGCCTTTAAAAATCCTTTACATAGATGATAGTTTAGGCAGCAATATAAACTAATTTTGTAGGAAAAACTTTTAAATTAGACTATATTTATAGGATAAAAAATACCACTGCTTCATTTTACAAAGCAATTAAGCAGAGACTTTAATGTGCTTTAAATAAAGAGCACTTTGCAGCAAAGTTCAGAACTAACTACTGAATTGTTCAGTAGCACTAAATGAATACAACATGCTCCAATAGTAAGGTGCTTCTACTTTCTTACCTCTCTTCCATCTAAAAATCAATCTTGTGGTCAATCCTCTAAGCATAGTTGTTCTTCTATGCTAAGCAATAAATGGGAAATAAAATCTATTTAAAATGCACATTTTATATTATTTAAATTCAGTGCAAGAATTAGGTAAAACTTGTTCAGGTTTCTGCTTTCACTATCAAATGGATGCATGTTAACAATGCATCTGCCACAGTTTTTAAATGTTTTACAGCTGTTCAAAAAGACTTTTTACAAATAACCTGGTATAAGTATATGAAATTTCAACTCCCTGATAAGGCCTTTAGGGACCCATTAGCAATTTACAGGTTGGTATCTGATGTTACGTACATAATAATTAAATTATAAAGGTTAAAAAAACAAGCTTGTATTTAGTGAAAGAAAAGCTTTCCTTATGCACACACACAATGAATGCAATTTAAAAATGGAGTCTTAGGGAATGTATAAATTTAAATTGTATTAATTGTATACTGGTCCCATTCCAAACAGAGAGGGTACTGCCCATTGATTTTTGTCCCACTGATACAAGAGTTTTAATTCTTAGTGTCTGCTATGGCCAAAGTATCTAACACATCACATTTTATGACATAGAGACGTCATGCCACATGTTAACAAATATTGCTACATAGTTCAGCTTTGTAGAAACAAGGCTCCCCCACCCCCATGATATAGAGTAGAAAATATTCTGTGGGTTCGCATAATGAGAAAAGCCCCCATATCCTCACTGTGGAAATACTACACCTGATGAACTGTTACAGCTGTGCATTTTATAGAAATGTTTCAGTTCCACAATGAAGAACTAAAGAATGATTGTTTTTATACTGCTCACAAACTCAATAAACCTATAAAATATACACGAAGTGAGCAATTCTCATCTTTTAAAATTCCTCTTTAGCCAGGTATTTCTTCCTCATACTGCTACCCTACAGTACCACCAGGATTTTAAATCATTAGGAATACCTTTTCTATACAGGCCACATTGATTATATATACATAATTTTAGTTGTATTAGTAGAAGAAATATTCAAAATTGACATTCAAGTGAGCAGTAACATTAACCACCAAACATCCAAGTCATCATCTACTTGTTTCCCTATTTTAAGTATACTGCAGTTGAGACTAGATTGGTAAATTAACTGCTAAATTGATTCAGCATAAGCAAGCAGCTGTTTGTAGATTCTTGATACAGAAATGATACATTAACAGAAATATAACTGTCAAGTATTTTAAACCATATAAGTAGTACAGGCAATTTGGAACTGGAAACATGATCATATATAAGTACCATCATAACAATATATACAAATTTTATACTAAGGACAAAGATGCTCATTTTATTAGGGCCAAGGATAAGAAGGAAACCATGCTTGTATAATTTTTGTTGGGCTCTAAAACTGCTTTTTAATTGACATGTGGATTCAACTGGACACATGGACTGTAGTTATCTGAAATTCTAATGTTTGTGAGAACTCCAAAGGTTGATGACCTATAGTAACATGTAATTTTGTGGAAGGAGGAACCTGAATCCGGAGGAAGGGAAGTGGATGTGTTGGAGAGAAAGTTGCTACCAGAGAATGAGCACAGGGGTTGCTAATGAGGCTCTACAAGTGTGAGGACAACCTTCAAGGAGTGCTGTGGTGGGGTATGCTTCTAGCTGTGGATACACTCCTGAAGGGCTCATGCAGATCTGAACACCCTGCTTTCTTTGCTAGAGACTTATTACAACATGGCTCAGGAAAACAGATTATAGGACCCTTTTAAAAGTGAGCATTGTCTCTTAATGGAATCCCAGCTATAACACTAAGTGGGTAGCAATTTCCTCTAGACATATTAAGGTTCCAGTGCTTCTGCTGTCAATAATGACATAAGATCCTCCTGTATTTTTCTAAATGTCAATAAATGAAACAAAACTGAAAAAACTGTTATGAACAAGCATCCAAAGGCATAAAATAGATACATGATTTAAGATTTGCAAATTTGCTTTAAAAATTTTTTTCAAATACATCAAATCAATCAGTCTTTAGGTTAAAAGGCATGTTTCAATGCGTTGCTGAAGGTGTGTTACAAAAATCTACAACCCATCCCCACTGTAATCAGGGGATTGAGATTAATTTTATATTAGATCTGTATTTCTAATATTCTTAGACAAGGTGTAAGAATGATGCTAGAATAAAGCCAATATATTGTGAAAATGCTCATATTCTCATCGATAAACATAGTCAATATTTAAGCAGATTTTGTTTTATATAACCTGTTGCCAGAAAATTTTCTCCATAATTATTTTAAAGGAAATAACATTTTCAAGTAACAAAGGTGTGAGCATTTTTGTCCTTCAGGATCACTAATTCAGATACATCTGAGGGCTTTTACTTCAGGACTGCTTTCTGGGTCTAGGCCAGAGAATTGCCTCATAAGAAAGAAAGTTCATTTTGGTATGTCAGCCATTCATATAATGGCCAAGACCTGTCTTACACAGAATTACACTCTACAGAGTACTGTAAACTGGGTCCAACATATCTACCTTCATTCAAGCCCACAACAGTCCTGCTGAGAATTCGTATCGGCTCCACGCATTCTTCAGGACTCCATTACAGCAAAATCAGCACCTAGAGCTACATACATGTGTTTACGAATTTAGTGACGATAACAAAGCCTCCCTCCCAAAATTCAACTCCAAGCATGTGAAGATAGTGAAATGCCAGCCAAAGAGGCTTTTCTGCACGTCTACTTTCTGTACATTTGTAGAACACGTTTTTTTTTCCCCATTGTGGAGCATAAAAATAAAAACAAATGGTGCATGTTAAAAAAGACTTAAGATCTGCATCCCTACTATTGAATCCTGATTTTTGATTCTCAATAGGAAAGTCATGTTGAGTTATAGTAATCAAGCAATAGTTCAACCAAAAAGACTAAAAATGATTTGAAATATCAAATTACAAAGTATTGCTTCTCATAAACAATGCTGCACATAAAATTCAAACTATTATAAATTCACAGTTATGAAGGGCTATTTAAAAGCATGGAAATTTTTACTCTGAAACCTTACAAATTGTAAGTGTGTGGGCTTCTAAAAATAGGTCATGTTAAATGTATCACGTTGTGGTAAACACATTTATAGGTGTATCTCCATGGTTATGTATCTTTTCAGATGTTGTGGAACATCTTTATGAAAATTCCTTTGTAGACGAGTAATGTGGGAATTATCAGTGCATTTCCATCTGATTTCTTCCAATTCCTGCCCTATAGCTATCATGATTAACTTCTTTTTCAGAATGTCACACTATTTAAGCTGATATGGAAGAAGCTCTGTATTTTGGGCAGATGACTATTCAGTGCACTGAACGATGGATTTCAAAGCAATCTCAACGCAGCTCACAGTAGATCTGTCAACCCAGTGTTCTTCCAACTCATAGCGACTCCTAGCTTTACTGGCCACTACAAGGATGTAAATGGGTAGACAGGTGGGGAAGGTGCTTAAAAAACAGGAATCTTCACAAGGCCTTTTCTCCGTTGCAGTCAGGAACATTGCACATCTAAAACTCATGTTAACCACCATCTGTTGGAATGACTGGAAAAGTGATAACTTGCCAATTGTGCTTCCTTTTTCACACCACTGAGCCAATACACTTTGGATCTAATGGAATCCAATTGTGGGACCACATGTTTACAATTTTGTAAGAGCCGATGTTCAACTGTAGGTATTTTTTTCATTCTGTTGAGTCACCTGTTTACAAACAAAGTAATACTGTATGTTAAAAAGAACAGCCTATTAAAGACAGTATGTATATATATTCCCTCACACCTTTCACAAGATCCAGTATGAACACTGATGGTTTTTTCTTTCAAATGACCTTTTTATATAGATGATGTATAAAAAACATCTTACAAAAGGATATGTTTGTATTCTTAAAAAAAAAGTAAAACAAAATTTGAACATGGATTTTGATCACTGTTAAAAGATCGTATGTCAAGATGACTATAGTTAACACTACTATGTGATATATAGGAAAGTAGCTAAGAGTAAATCCTAAAGAGTTCTCGTCACAGGAGAATATTTTTTATTTTCTCTCCTTTTTCTTTCTTTAAGATGGATGTTGGCTGAACCTACTGTGGTAATCATTTCACAATATATGTAAATCAAACCATCATGCTGTACGCCTTAACCTTATACAGTGATGTATGCCAATTATTCTCAATAAAGCTGGGAAAAAGAGTTTTTTAAAAAGGTTGTATGTTAGATTCACTTTCCCTTTTCTTCCTTTTACTCTTAACATTTTATGTCAAAACTATACACTAAAAAGATAAATACAATCTAAAACCTTTGCCTCAAAAACTGTCAGTATAATAAGAACTATCAAATGGCAAGTTTAAAATACACCAGAGAGTTGTCATTATAATTGAGATTTAGAGGACAGAGCTAGTACTGTCTTTAAATGGATGACTTTACCAGGACTTTGTAAAATTCAAAATAGTTGTGTTTGAGATCCATGCGCTGACCCACAGCACAGGAGAAACATATATATGGCCTACTTGTCAGGTAAGAGCTGACATGTGGCTTTTGAGGACTTGAAATACGTCTAGCGTGACTGAGAAAGTGATTTGAATTTGACTTAAATTAAAATCTAAAACTCTGTAAAAAATACTTTTCCATTAAGCACAACTTGGTTGTTTTGGTATGACTATTCAATGTAACCAATGAATACTTGGCATCCAAACTGAGGTGGTGCTACTAGTAAGTGTAAAATACTCACTGGATTTTGAAGACTCAGTGCCCAAAAAAAAGGTGAAGATATTGACAAGATACTCTTGGATATATCATTTAGTAAAATATTACTAGAATCAATTTCACCCATCACTTTTAACTTTTTTAATGTGGCTCACATTGTATTTCTATTGGACACCATCATTATGGTTACTCATGAGTTTAAGAAGGACCCCACAGGAAACAAGTTACAAATAATAAAAAGTCTATACAATTATATATATTCCCTTATGTTTAGAAAACCCCTTCAAAGATACTATTACCTATGGCTAGGTCTGAGATGAGTTTTTAGAGGAGGATGAAGCTGAACATGTCCAGGACCTTCAGTTTTTATTTCATGAAGTTTTAAGAAATTAGTTCTTCAAAAACAAGTATGTAATTAATTATTTTGAATCTATAAGAAAGAAACCAATTAATAGGAAATACAAATTACAGCCTTTTTAGCCATCTGTAGAAAAGTGTCTAAAAGTTCAGAGCCTTTAAAAATGACTTCCTAGGGACTTCCCTGGTGGTTCAGTGGTTAAGACTCCACGCTCCCAGTGCAGGGGGCCCGGGCTCAACCCCTGGTCAGGGAACTAGATCCCACACACCACAACTAAGAGCCTGCATGCCGCAGCTAAAAAGATCCCACATGCTGCAACTAAGACCCAGCACAGCCAAATAAATAAATAAATTAAAATATTAAAAAAAAAAAAAAAGACTCCCTAAGACCACACACAGGCAGTGATATATAGCTCTTTATCAATGGCTGCTCAACTGGTAGGGATCACAGCTAGTCTGTTGTTTGCTTCTGGTGTGGGACACATTTAGTCTTTAGTGACTTTGCTACTATCCCAGTTCATGCATTTTCTGGCAGTATTTCATTGTTCCTCTCAACATTATACTACATACACCAGCCATGAACAATCAGCCAAAAAAAGGGAAGGTTTTAGGTGATTTTCAGAGTGGTATTCATTATGGACATATTCTTAAACACCTGACATAAGGTTAAATTAGCAGCCAAAAGCTATAAGTAACATCCCAGCTACTTGAATATACGAAATGCATGCTTATGTGAAGGTCTAGCACTGGGATTACCTAATCAGTGCCAACATGGTAGCTTCTGGCATAGGTTTAGGGGTTTACTGAGAAGCTACATGCTGAAGGGGACAAGGCAAGAGGTAGCAAGCACTGTGAAGTGGGACACAATCTACAGTCATCCAGTGTGGGAAAGATTCCCAGTCAGGCACACCCGAGTCTCTAGACACACTCACACACTTGAGTGGACACATTTACATTCCTCTACAAAGCATGGCGTACATATGTACAAGCACAAATAGTTTGAAATTATTTGGGGATCCAAAAACAGTAAGTGACCGATAATTAAGGCCTCTACAACTAACAGGAAAAAAGGGTGCCAACAGTCCCAAGACCCATGGCCATGGCAGACAGTGTTACTATCAAATGTTGGTTAGAGCACATTAAAGTTAACACCCAACCACTTATCAAGATTTTTCATGCTTTTTGTTAAGCTACAGTGCAGATGCTGGTGGGGAGGGGTGGAGTTGGGGAGTGTGGAATTGGCACATTTTCCTGATGGACCCATGCCCAAAAGGGTAAAAACTGCTTTTAGTAATATTTTGATATATCCAAAATAGTATCTTCCAACATTTAATCAATATTTTAAAAACTAATGACACAGTTTCTGGGTTTTGTTTTACCTTTTTGTAATAAGTCTTTCTGCCTACATATATATCAGTTCTACTCTTTCAGAATCTCTGGGAGTGAAGGCCATGAATATGCATTTTTAGTAAGCTCCCCCTGGTAGTTCTTAAGATCAGGCACAGTGATTCTTCCTTTACCTACTCCCACCTACTTCCCCCTTTTGTAAAGCCCATAGAAACATATTCCATCAAGAGAGCATAATGATTAATAGAATATATTTGCATACTTTATATTTTGCACAAATAATATTTCAGTTATGGTCCTCAGCAATTTGATATACTATTTGATTTATAGCATGTGTTATCTTTACCAATTCTATGTATTTAGCATAATTTGTGCCACATAACTATATAAATTAGCTTATTAAAGCGTAGTGGGGGACAGCTCTGTATTACCTTGGGAGAATGCCAAATGTGTACCAATTCCCACAGGGTACTCAATAAGATATGTATATTATGTCAGCTGCCATTTTATCTAGACAATGCAGTAATTACAATAAGCCCTAAATGATAAAAAGGCTTAGAAAGCTAAATAATCCGACAATGCAATGACTTTTCTAGATTCCCTTGTGGGCAGCTAACAAAACATCAAAATTCAATACGCATAACAGTTTGCAACTGAAATACCTAAGTTAGAAAAAACCTTTTCTGTTTTTTTAAAGCTAGAATAAGACTGTCACTTTACTAGAATAAGACTATCCTTTTTACTTGGGATATAGCTTGTACTAAAGAAATTGTTAATGAGCAGGATATAGAAAAACACAGCATTTACACAGGAACATCTCTGTACTTTTTTTGTTATGTTTCCAGAAACTACAGAAGTAAAACCTGAAGTTATGATCCAGGCTATAACTGAGCTGTATAATAAATAATGAACCTCAGATTCAATGACGTATAACAGACCTCATCATCCAATACAAAAGCTGTATTACTGGAACACTACTGAAGAAAAGTAAGACCATTTACTTGTTAGTTTTCCCAGTCTGTGCAAGGCAAAGCCTCCTCATCATCCTCTGACTCAGGGGATGCTTCTTTGATTCTTCTAAGAGCTTCATGGATGCTCCGTGTTAGAGGGTCCGTGTCGGGCAGAAGCGTGAAGGATTCTCTCAAGACTTCCTTCTGTACCTTCTTCAATTTTACCCCCTTCCTTATTTGTGCCAAGATATTATTATCATCTTCATCAGGAAAAGGAGGCAGAGTTCGCTGTTCAACCTTTCTCAGATGAAAACTACCACGCTTCAAGGAAGCTAGCACCTCATCCATGGGTGAGCTCACTTTAGAAAATGAAAGAGAACAATTATGATTGCACTTAGAGTCAGGAACTGTATAACCTCCAGACTTTAGGACTGTGATAGCCCAGGATGCTAAAAACGTATCTAGAGAAGGGACCATGAAGCATGGACACAACATTGCCAGAATACAGGGGATACTAATTATGCTTGTTTAAAAAGATCCCAAGACCCAAATTCCATGTCAGGCATTACTGGTATTCCTATCATTTCTCATGTGAGAGAAGTGAGCAGACTGGGGGCTGGGGGATGATCTTTAGTATTATTATGGGTGAGACTCCTAAAGAGTTTCCATAATGCAAAAGTCCAATCAAATCCAGACAGTGACTGGACTGCACATTTAATTTTAAAAAATTAAATTCTGGTTCATTATGGTGACTGTGTGTGTGTGTTTTTTTTTTTTTTAATAACTGCTTTACATATGAAATTCTACTTGGGCTATGGTAAGAAATATTTTATAGGATGGTCTCTCAGATTAAAATGTAATATACAAATAAAATGTTCTCTCCGTGAATGCTAAAGCTCCTAAAGGACAAAATTATTTGCTGTTTCAATAAGATCTTTATTAAGGCATATCTGACATGCAATAAATTATACATATTACTCCCTATTCTTCTTTGCTTCTTTATAAAAGATATGCCAGGGTCCTCAATAAATATGTAGCCAAATGTTACATGGTGTTGCCAATGTTCTCCTGACCAGACAGCTTCCCTTTTCTTGTATTTCTGAGATTTCAAATCATATTGTAACACAAAAGGAGCCACATAATACATGTTACCAAATAGATCAAGTAAAAGATATAATTTAAAAAGCATCGCTAAGAGCTCAAGCAGGTCCATATTTGTGTCTGTACACATGTGCAAACATGGGTTGGTAAGAATTCTGCCATGCTGAGACCCTGAAAACCTGTTTGCTATCAAATAATGTCCAAAAATAAAATGTTTAAAGCTTTGTAATATCCTAGGAAATAAACAGTCCTTTAACTACATGCCTCAGTCAACAGATGAACTCAAAAATCTTTTTTTAACTCACCTCTCTTCCTCTGCAAACCTTCAGCAGTCTTTTTGAGCTTCTTCCTGGCACTGACGAGCTGGCTGCTGTCGAAGAGGTGTGCTGAGGGGGCACTAGCTGACTCTGGGATCCTCTTCTCGTTCCCCTCCACTCTAGGCAGACCTTCCTCCAGTGTCTCTGGGGCGCCGTCCTTACCGACAGGCAGAGGCGGTGGTGGTGGGGGAGGAGGAGGTGGCGGGGGAGGTGCCGGAGGAAGAGGTGGGGGGAGTGGATCTGCTGTGGCAGAACCTGGTTTAGGGTCAATCTTACTCAGAAGTGGAGGAGATGCGGCGGGAGGCGGTTCAGAGGTAACACCACCGGGAGGTAACGAAGTAGCTTCAAGTTGTGCTGATGAATTGTCTTCAAGCTGTGTGAGGCTTTGGGCTTCTGTTGTCTGTGATGACCCGAGCTTGCCCCTTCCTTCCTCCACTCCCTCACTTTTCTCTTCTACCTGTAGCGCTCCTGGCAGAGGGTCACACTGGTCTTCACAGGACACGGGACTGGCTGCACTTCTTCTTCTTGCGTGAGCCAGTCGCAATCTGGTTGATTTAAGTATGACCTGGCCTGGGTATCTCTAAGAAATCAGAAGTTATTATAACTGGTTAGATTACAATTTATGAACAAATGGCTGTTTATTTTCTCCCTCCAATGCAAGATTTTATTTTAGAGCTTTTATGATTTTTCAGGGAAAATATACTGAAAACCAAAATACCAAAATGTAATACCTTATAAATAATTATCACCAAATTCTTTATTATTTGCTTATCATCAAATCCTTCTCCCCTCTTATCCACTTAAGAGGTCAACTGTTCAGAATTACCACATGATTAAAGAAAGATCCTTAGTGAATAAAAAGTACTAATTTAAATGGGAAAATAGTAGCAGTGTAAATAAAAAACAAATGATGTCAAATATATATATGCTATTGGTAGGCAGAAAGCTAAAAAACTATTCTTAGATTCGTAGATTCCTACATGTATTTTCAAATGCTTACAGATAAAAAATTAAAACATTAATGTTCTTCAAAGGGTAACATGGCATTTTTTTAAAGCTCTGAAAACAATATATGCATTTTATGATAGAATAGAAGGAGAATGAATAAAAATTTTTGGAGTACTGATACACAGAACTCTCATTCTTTTACTATGGTAAAACCTAGCATTAATGCATTTGGCAGACGACATTTTCTTAACACAAAGCTTATCCTTGTGTTAAGGACCCCATTCCCACCCACCCCCACTCTTTCACTTGATCAAAAGCTCCCTTCACCTGTAAGGAGACCCCTCAGAATAAAGAGTAGAAGTAAGGCTCTTGAGTGCTGCTGAGAACCAGAACTACCTAGTTTAAGCACATTCCAAGGAAATGCTTAGCTGCTGTGATATCAGTGTCCAGAGTCATGGATAAGCCTGGCAAGAGAACTGCTGAAGCATTTCTCACATGTGTTGATCCACCCTCTAATTCTGCCACTGGTCATATTATTACACCACAGTGTTGATGTACACAGAATTAATAACAAGTTGATGCTTAAAATGGATAGTCAGTTGTGAACTAATGAATCCAGGCTTCCCAGAGGCCCTGACCATTCCTCTTCTATCACTGAAGTGGTAAGCCAAGGACTGCCATAACTAAAATTGTTTTCTAGATAATAAAGGGAAAATCAAGTTTTTCTCATAAAAGAAATCTTACAATAGGAGTATATATGTACCTCTGTTTAAAAAGCAATGAAAAATAATAAATTGACCATAGTTTTACTACCTGTTTAAAGGTTCGAAGTCTATCCAGTGTTCTCTGTCTTTCTTGGCTAACCCAGGCACTTTTTCTTTCTTCTTCATCATGTAATTTTTCTCTTTTCTGGTGTAAAAAAAAAAAAAAAAAAAAGTAATTCCATTACGATGTGTCCCATTATATTTTATCATTAACAGAAAAAGAGAGAGTTCTCCCAATATGTAAGCTGGATTACTCCAAAGAATGATGTATTAAGCAATGTTCTGTGGCATGAAACACTATCAGTTTTAATTGAAATTATATTGTTGTTTCACTTTCTGCATGACCTACCAATTAAAAGACGTTTACTCTGTAAATATTTTCTCTGAACTGAAAAATGTTTCATCTTTGGGGTTCTGGCTTGATCAATTTTATTATGCAATACTTGTAACTGCTATATTCTGCTAACTCAAATAGTTGACCTTAAAAACAAAAAATAACCACTTGGTCGGTAATTTAGGTATTATATATGGGTTAAGCCTGATGTTCTGTAGATAATGTCTACTATTACTGAACCTGTTCCTCTTGCCACAAATCTAAGTGTGTGTTTTAATACCTCATTCAATTTTTTTCCTTCCCATTCCCCAATCCCAAACCTCTTTGATTTTGTATTCCCAAACTGGATTAACAGTATCACCACCCACCCAATGTTGGCCAAGTTAAATACGAATTGCTCTTTCTAAAGGAAAGAAAGCGGAATTCTTGGCAGGAGGATAAAGAGTGGGAGTAGTGCTTCTGACAACCTCACTGCTGAGGGTCAGGTGACAGGTAGTTACCAATTAGGGAATGCACTGAAGAGTGCCACGATGGCCAACCACGTCCCCAGAGAGATGTAACTATCACACACAATACAGATTGGTTCCACTTTCTCTTGGTGAGGTGGGTTGAATCCTTTGTATATAAATCAGCCCATGGAACTTATGGTCAGGGTGCAGGGGGGTGCCAAGGGTGAGTAAACATGAACATTCTTCCATCTCTTCTTATGGCAGGTCAAGAAGACCTTTTCCCTTTAGAGAGCTCTCACTTGGGGAGTCTTAAGAGAGTCGCAAAGGCCACTTATTAGTAGATAAAAAGTCATGCATCTCTCAGTAACAATCCCAGATTGCTATATATAATCCTAAAGGTTTCCAGATGGGAAATTAAAGAAGATATGACCTGAGCTCTTCATTAAAAGAAATAAAGGTCCCATGTGGATTCTGTCCTTTATAGAGGAAAGCCCAGAATGGCTCAAGGACACAGTGAGGCACGAATTTATCCCAACTCCTCACCCCTACTGCATACTCAGTTCCATTCACACAGCTGAGCCAACAAAAGGAAGGAACTGAAAAAATCTCATATTTACAACTGGTAACCACCTGGAATTGGGAGTGAGCTTGTACTTTCCCACGCTGGGATACATGCCATGGGATACTCAGGGACAAAGGGTCTTCTAAGGCCTATCGAGTGGCACTGGCTCAGAGACGACGAGATTTTTCTATACTTAGAGTGTATTATCGAATGAATATAGTGCTTAGTACTTGAGGAAGAAATTAGTTGTCTAAGAGATATTCAGCATTTTCAAACTGTGAATCTGCATCTCTAAACATAATATACAAATAGCTGAATGTGCAGTTCAGAAATAAAACTGATCAATCATTTTGCTGGTCTGTCAGCTGGTATAACGAGAGTCAGATCATACTATTATCTAAAAGATCCCAAATGGAAAGAGAAAGTTTCAGACATGTTCAGGCATGAACTGATGGGTTTGTATGGACTTTTCATAGAGCACAGTATTGTATTTAAGAGCCTAGTGAGTAACAGGCCCCCTCTGGCTAGCTAGGGGAAAGTTATTTAATGAAGATAATTTACCCTTTTGTGACGGGCG